GCCCACACTCAAGTCTAAAAAATGCTGTCAGCCCGGAGGGAGAGGCGTGCCCGGAGTGCACGCGTGGAGGAGGCCTCAGAAGAGGCCTGGTCTCTGTGCCCCGCAGTGGGCTGCCCGACCAGCCCCACACGCCTGCCCGGAGCCTGTACTCCAGCCCGCACCTGGACGCGGGGGCCTCTCCGCTCTCTCGCTCTCGCTCTTTTTTTTTTTGCGATAGGGTCTCGCTAAATAGTTCAGGCTGGCCTTGAACCCACTATGTAGCCCAGGGTGGCCTTGAACTCCTGGCGATCCTCCAGCCTCAGTCTCCGGAGTACTGGGATTACAGGGGTGCTCCACCACGCCCACCTCCGAGTACTCTTGAAATGCAAATAGGCCCGATGGCTGTTTACCACAGTCAAAAAGAGGCAACAACCTAGGAGTCCTTCAGTTAGGTGAAAAAGAATGGTCAGGAGGCCTGGTGTGGTGGTGCGCTCTTGTAACCCCAGCAGTTTGGGAGGCTGAGGCCGGAGGATCGCAAATTCAAGCCCACCCTGGGCAATTTAGCGAGTTAGCAGGAAAAAGAAAAAGGTCTGGGCATGTGTGAAGGCCCTGGGTCCAATCGCACATACATACTGCCTTGTAGACGTAAGCTGTGCTGGCCCGGTAGATCCAGGTGCACCTGCATGCACGACTTCCCAGGTAGAGCAAAAAAGCTGCGATACTGCTTTGAAACCAATACATGTGTGTAAATGTACACTCACCTACACCCATGCAGAGTGTGTGAAACGGAGAGATGTAGACAGACTCATCCGAAAGACGGCGAGGGGGAGAGCGAGTGAATTTCAGCTTTTACTTTCTGGATATGTTATAACTGCCATGTAGTCATGCATTACCCGCATGAACTTTCTGAAAAAGGAATTGTTTTTAGAACAGTTGCAGACTTGCAGAAAAATTGTGAAAATAACGCAGGAAGTTGCGCTAAACTCGGGTTTCTCCTGACCCTGACACGTTAGTGTGGAGCTTTTGCCGCAGTGAATGAACCAGCCTTGATGCATTCTGCTGACCACTCCAGGCGACCTTGGTTTTGGTCTTTTTCCAGGATCCCATCCAAGATCCCGAGTCCCATTTAGTTTTCCTGTGTCCTTAGGCCCATCTGGTTGTAACAGCGTCCAGCCTTCCCTTGTTTTTGATGACCTTGGGTCTCAGCGTCCTGTGTTCCCCAGTGTCTCTCCCTGGGGGTTTGCCTGGTGTTTTGCACGATTACACGATCTTGCACGACTGATCTGTGTTCTGGGGAGGAGGCCACCGCAGTACCCGTGGGGACCGTCGTCACTGAGGATGTTGGCTGTGATCACCGGCGGAAGCCACCCGCCACCTCCCCCTCTGTACAGTGTGACCTTTTTAATGTAGAAAGTTTCCTTCACCTTAGTCACTAACAACCTACAAGGGGCTGCAGAGGGCTTGGGGATGCCCTCCTTCCTGGAGCCTAGCGCGGCGCAGGGCGTGAAGAGGTCGGGTCGCATTCTCCAGGTGTCCTCCTCTGTCCCGTTCACTATAAGGACGGTGATTGCCTTCGGCTGCTCCGTCCCGCATTTTACCTGGGGCCGGGCCAGCTCGGGCCACGCCCCCACCGAGGGTCCGCCCCCGCCAGACGGTTTAGCCTCGCCCCTTTCGAGGGCCCCGCCCCGCATCGACTCGGTCCCGCCCCCGGACAACGTTGAGTTTTGCTGCCCTAGAGTTTTCCGCCCTGGGCTCCTCCTCCGCCCCGGTCGCCGGAAGGACATTGGCTTCCTTCCGCGGCTCCAGTCCCGGCCCCCACCTGGGGGGGGCCGGGCCAGCCCAGACCACGCCCCAAACAGCTGCCCGCCACGCCCCCGCCGAGGCCCTCCCCCTGCAGCCCGGCCCCGCCCGGGGCGTGTGGGGCGCTGCGCCCCGGAGTTTCCCGCCCGCGGGCTCCTCCCCCGCCCCGCCCTCCCGGCCGCGGCGCCTGCGGGTCTTGAGTGCTCCGGAGCGGGGCCGAGGTCCAGCAGAACCCAGGCGTCCGCCAAGAGGTCGCTGCTGCCCGTGTCCCCGCTCGCCCCTCGGCGTCCCCAGGCCAGGTGAGTGAGGTCCGGCGCGGTGGCGTTGGGTCCCGGAGCCCTTCCCGGCCCGGCTCTGCGCTTCCTGGTTGTGGGCGCGGGGCGGAGTGGGTCAGGGGGTGCAGGCTGGGCCTGGAGCGCGCCGGGCGGTGACCTGAGCCCCTCCAGCCTGCCGAGTCCCCGGCTGCTGTGCCCCTGAAGGGGCCGACTGAGCTGGGGAGTGTGGGGCGAAGGTGCCTGGGGAACTTTGCTCGGAGCTGGAGAACACGGATTCCTGGGAGCGGCAACCATTGCGGCGGATTTGTAAGGCTCGGACCCAAGGAATGGAGAGAATGCAACCTAACCCTTTTCCATCCGCGACCCCAGCTTTTGCTGGGATTGTAGGATTTGGCTGTCCCAGTGGGTTCAGGGCAGCCTCCTGCGGAATGAGGAAGGAGAAACCGGTCTGTGGGTCATAAGCACACATGTGAAGTTCCTCATCTTGAGACTGGAGGGGAAAAGCTAAGCTAGCCAGTGCTGCTGGGGTCATTGCTCACGGGACACTTCTGTCCCCGTCCCCCTAACCAGTGACCTCTCTGTGGAGTTTGGATGTCTAGGGACAGACCCTGGGTATCCTCGTAGGTCTCCTCTGCTCCCTCCCCCAGCCTTCTTTCTCGACGAGGTCCCCTCCACTGAAGGGTGAGCCCCTAGCTGCCCTGTCCACGGGGCAGGGACCACTGGCTTGCAGGGAGGACTGTCTATCTTGCTGTCCCTTATAGCTGGCTCACATTGCAACCCTCATTCCATCCATGTTACCGGCAGTTGGAGATTTGCAGGAGAATTAGCGGGGCCCCTTCTCTTTGGGCTCTGTCTGTGCAGCAAGGTGTTCACGGGCATCAGAGTCCAGGTGAGGGGCTGCCTTGGCCTTGGCTGCTCCCTGCCTTGAGCTCCCTGATTTCACACCTCTCTGTGCTTTGTTCCTGCTTCTGTAAAATGGGCATCATTATAATACATACTTCCCAGGCTTATTGTGCGGATTCACTGAGTTAGTATCTGAAACCAGCGTACAGTGCTCAAGTACCGACCAGGCAGGATTGGTGGTGACTGGTGTGCTCTATCCGTGTGTTCCAGGTGGATGTCACTCAGGTTGGGCATGAAGTGAGCAAAGCAGTGGTGTGTAAGTAATCAGATGCAAGCGGCAATGAATAATATAGCAGTACTAGCTGTTACTACTTCCTTTGCATTGGAAGGTACAGCCAGGGGGGACTACCCTTCTGAGCAGGCTCCCTGCTTTGCTCAGGCTGTTCTGTCCTGCCGTACCCTCCCTCCTCTATCATGCCTGTCATGTGCTAGCCATCCTGGTGCCTGCTGCCCAGCAGAGGGACAGGCCATACCCTGCGCTCTCTCACACAGCTCTCCCCGTCCACTTCTCTGGCACTGGCCCGTTCTCAGGACCCACCTGGTAGCCTTGAGTAGCATTTGTGTGGCCATGTGTCTTACCCCTGCCCTGTCCTTGGTCTCTGCAGTGCAGGGCTGCTTCCCGCTCATTTCTTGGTCTTGCACAGCGCCCAGGAGGGGCCTTGCCTTATTAGGTGCTCAGGAAATGATGAGTGAGAGGCAGGAGAGGAAGTACAGTAGTTTCTCAGTAGTTAGAGTATTGGACTGATTGGGAAGGCAGACAAAAGCTGGGAGGGTGAGCTGGAAGTGCATCCAGACTGCAAGGTGAGAGAGGAGCTGAAAGGTCACGTTCTGCTGTGTGATCCTGTTGAGCCAGGATGACATAAAGGACCCATCCTGATTGCTCTGTCCATATGGCCAGGACTTGTGATGCTTTGATCATGTGATGGGAGCAAGTAATGGGAGTTTCGGATGAGTGGAGTAGGAACTCAGTGTAGGACAGAGAAAAGAAACCCAGAGTGGGCCCGAATTGGGGCCAGGACCTTTCCTTCCTCTCTTCCTAGTTGCCTTCTTTCCTCTTAAGGCTGCAGCGATTCCTGGCAGTGGATCCCATGGGAGTCCTCCAGGAGGAGTTGGGTGTGGGCTGCCTCAGAGGCAGCAAAGTCCAGTTTCTCTGGGTTTTTCTTTCCAGAACATTGGGAATCTGTGTGACTCCAAAATAGGAAAGCTCCTAGGGTAATGAAGAGACTGAGGTTTCCTGGGTGGGAGTTGGTATTTGTAGACAGGAACTCTCCAGGAACCACGGAAACCATTCCACGTTAGGCCTGCTGACCCTCACCCCTGAGACCCCCGAAATGAAGGTCTGATAGTCACCTGGTAGTGATCGAGGATCCTAATGACATACCTGAGTACAACTGGCTCTGCCTGGGCAGGTACGAGGAGGCGATGGGTGGGGGCATTGAGGAATCGAGTACAGAGTTCTCATCTTTGCTCTTTAGTCACCCACCTCAGTGTTCTGACAAAGTGCTGCCTCAGGATGTTTGTAGGAGGCGTGTAGGTGCTGGGGATGTGGCTCGGTGGTACAGCGCCTGCCTAGCAAGTGTGAGGCCCTGGGTTCCATCCCCAGTGCTGCAAAAAAAAAAAAAAAGATATTGTGGGTGTGTTACCTCAAAGAACCCTGGTGTTGTGGTGTTTCAGCTGGTGAGCAAAGCCTGGCTCTGCCCTGTTTCTTAGTGTCTAGTTTCCCAGAGGTGTATGCTTATGAAGGCCCCACGCCTTAGAAGAAAAGAAGTGGGTGGGAGAATGAGAAGGAAGTCACGGGTCGCCAGCCTCCCGAGTCCTGGAGCAGCAGAGAGGCTGATTTGGGGGAACAGTGAGGAGAGGTGAGGGCAGTCTGGGTGAGGGTGGAGAGGAGGAATGTGGCGGAGGGTGAGGCAGTTTGTGGCATGCTAAGCCTGTGGCGTGGCGCCTCTGGGGAAGGGGGTGGCCAGTATGGCCAGGTTGGTGGTAGCAGATGTGAGCTTGCTGTGTCTGCCAAAAAGGTCACGGGTATTTTTAGGAAGTAGGCGGTGAGGGTTGTTTCTGTTGGACTCTTCATTAGTGTCCACTGTTGGCCTAGCTGTGGGCTGGGTGCCCACAAGGAGAGGCCACCCCCTCCACCCAGGCTCGTTCCTGTGGGTGTTCCGAGACCTGGGACAGGCTGGATGAGGCCCAGTTTGGAGGTGGGGAAGGTAAGTTCAGGTACCTTTGAGACACCAAGTAGGTCTGGGGGTCCGGGGGGTTAGGAGGTGTCTGGCTTGGACAGAGGTGGTTTTTTTGGTACTGGGGATCGAACTCAGGACCTTGCGCCTTAGAGGCAGGCAGCAGAACCACTGGACAGAGGTTCTGCTGAGATGTTTATATTTGAAGTCAAGGGCAAGGTGATGTAAAGAAAGATGAACCAATAAGGGAGACAGAAAATGAGCAGCTCAAGAGGATCACTTGCAGGGGCTGGGTCAACCTGCTTCGGTAGGATGGGGTGGCCAGGGGTGGCATTGCTGCCAGGGTCAGTAACGTGTAGGACATACAGCCACCTTAGCAGTAGCTATTTGGGTGGGAAAATGGGAACAGAATTGGAACAAATGAGTTGACAAGTACCAGGAGCCCAGGATCTTGAGGCGTTGACAGAATGTCCCCAAGGAAGTATTTGTGTGTTCTCAGCTACTGCTACATTTTTTTTTTTTTTTTTGGTACCAGGGATTGAACTCAGGATCTTGTGCTTACAAGGCAGGCAGAGGCACCACTGAGCTAAATCCCCGGCCCCCCTCCTGCTTCCTTTTATCCCGGGTTGGGGGTGGAGGAGCCCGGCATGTGAATAGCAGGCAGCCCTCTCCATGCAGATATGGGTGCCTATGAAGCTTTGGTTCTTTCACAGATTCATTCTGTGGACCTTGCCTTGCAGTCTGTTTGTGACTTCGTTCGTCACCGGCAGTAACTCTGGGTTACTGTTACACCAGCTTGCTCCGGGTTTTTGTTCTTAGAGCTGGAATAAGCAAGCTAGTCCTTGATTGGACTGTTACTGAGTACTTACTTAAGAAGAGTTTATGTTACTATGCTATTAAGTTTTCTGAATTGTTAGACATTATAAATGAGATTATAACTGGATGCACTGGAATTTTCAAGTATTTTTTTTTTATTTCTACTTTTTTCTTTTCCTATTCATTAGTCATTAATTTCACCTTTTTTTCATTCCTTCTTACTTTGCTTTATTTTATTGAATACCTACATTGGTCCACTGATTTTTAGTCCTTTAATTTAAGAAGTATGCAATGCTTACCCCTTTGCTTTGAATACAGTTCTAGCTGGTGGCCTTTTGTACTGTGTCTTCTCTGTCCTTTGCTCTCTAGTCATTTTGCTATAAATCAGTTTTTGTTGTTTGTTTGGTTTGGGCTTTTGAGATCCTGAGGCTCAGCCTGGCCCTGAACTCCTTCCAAGTGCTGGGATTATGGGCGTGCACTACCATGCCCTGCTGTAAATCAGTTTCCATCCAAGGATTATTTAGTAGATGGAACCCTGAATTTCCAAGTACATAATACTGTGGAGGACATAATTAAATTTGCTTGTTGAGTTTTAGTTTTATGGGTTATGATTAATGAATGTGGTCTGCAAAAATCTCTTATCAGACAATTACATTTTCTTTGTGGCCAACTATATGATTAGTATTAAAATGTTTCATGGACTTGAAGAAAATATGTAGTATTCTCTGGGGCACAATCTTCAGGTACATATTTAACTTGAATTTACCCTTGATCTCCTTACTTACCCATCTATCAAATTCTTTTTTTTTTTTTTGGTACCAGGGATCGTCCTTGGGACCTTGCGCTTGTGAGGCAGGCAACAGAACCACTGAGCTAAATCCCTGGGCCTATCCATGAAATTCTGAAAGGACTATCAAAAATACTTGCTATAATTTTTTTCTATGTCAAGCTCTGCTTGTATCTGCAGAAGTTCTCCACTTTCCTGGTTGGTGTTTATGGATTTATCAGACTCCTACATCAGATCATTTGTTGCTTGTTTCATGCTTTTGGTCTTTGGGCTTAACATGTTCACAATGTCTCGCTGCTGGGTGGCTTGAACCACTGGTGGTAGTAGTAAAAAGACCCATAAACATGATTAGATGCATTTGTATTACCAGAGGTAAAAGCTGCCTGGTGAGGCAATCATGCATGTACCACTGCTGTTTGAGCCGGTGAGAATGTTAAATTTCATATTATCTGTGTTTTGGGAGAATATATAGCCAAGGATCTAGAAGAATACCTTTTCTTTACAGTCCTAAAATTAATAAATAAGTAATAAGTGTATCCTATAAGACAGCAAGGCTCAGGACTTAGAGGCAGGAATCAGTTGGAGGGCAGGAAGCCAGGAGGCCCCTGTAGTGTCTGTTCAGGCTCCCACAGAGTAGTTAGTGATCGGGTCCTGCTTCTCTGCTGATAACCATGATGCCCTCTCCTTGGCTGTCCCCAGGGTCCTCGTGATGGCCAGGCTTTTAGGAGGAATGGAGTGCAAACTCCAGGGATGTGGCCTACAAACCTGTCTTTTAATCTGTTTTCTGTTGCTGTAACTAATAACCTGAGGCTAGATGATATGTAAAGAAGAGTTTTATTCAGCTCATAGTTCTGGAGCTCCAGGAGCATGCTTGGTTTCTGGCAAGGGCCTCCTTCTGTGTCACAATACAGTGGAGAAGGGACAGGTACAAAAGACAGTAGGCAAAGAATGCAAGCTGCTTTGTAACACCCAGTTTTCAAAGGAAGTAATCCAAATCCATGACCTGTTAGCCTCCCACTAGGCCCTGGCTCTTAAAAGGGCCCACCACGTTTGGTGCCCTTGCACTGAGGACCAAGCTTCCAGCAAATGAACCTTCAGAGGACAAAGCATCCCCAAACCATAGCATAATCTTCTCTCCCGTTGCAGTTTTGGCTCCTTCCTTGGGTCCTGGGGCTTGGATGACTCTACCTTGCACTTTCCTCATTTTCACATTTCCTTCTGCATTTGAGGCAGCAAGATTGGGTTCTCTTTGCTCTTGCAGGGAAATGACCAAGAAGTACACAGACATGTTCAAGGGCTAAATGTCAGCTATGGAGACTTGGTCTTTGTTTCATCCTCTTTCTATGCATTTGGGGTTTTGTGTTTGTTTTTTGAGACAGGGTCTTGGGATATAGTCCAGACATGCTAGCTGTAAACTCACTATGCATTTCAGGCTGGCCTTGAACTTGCAATGCACCTGCTTTAGCTTCCCCAGTGCTGGGATTATAGGCATGCGCCACCATACCCACTTCCTGGGCTTGTGTTTTAAGTTACATAAACTCCCTCAACATACTAAAGTGGCCTAAGCCTGGCTAGACCTTGAGATCTTAGTGAGTCAACTTCCATATCCTGTATTTTCAGATAAAGGCAAATGGCTTGGAAAGAATAACTTGAAAATATCCAGGACCTGCTGAGGAAGGCTTATCAAAGAGTCCTCCACATACTTTTTTTTTTTTTTTTTGGTACCGGGGATTGAACTCAGAACCTTTTGCTTGCAAGGCAGGTGGTGGCACCACTGAGGTAAATCCCCAGCCCTTGGCAGCAGTCTTTTTTTTTTTTGGTACTGGGGATCGAACTCCGGTCCTTGCGCTTGTGCAGCAGGCGGCAAAACCACTGAGCTAAATCCCCGGCCCAGACCTTGCACTTGTGAGGCAGATGGCAGAACCACTGAGCTAAATCCCTGGCCTCCACATACTTTTAATATTAATATTTCTACCTCTGGTTTTTCTTTTCATTTGCCTGGTATGTCCTTGCCTAACCTTTAAGTTTAAATCCTTCTCACTTAAAAATTTAAACCATTCTCTTGTACTAGCATATAGCTAGGCGGGACAGGAGAGAGCAAGGCAGAGGCAGGGATAACAGCAACACAGCGAATCTGGTGGGTTCTGTCCGTGATTTGGTTCGATTCCCTGTGTCTTCTTATTTATAGCACTTGGGGGTTGTTGGTTTCCTTGCCTGAGTTCTGCTGTCTTGGGTAAGATTCTCATTGTTCCTCTTTCCTCTGGTGCCTGTGTTAGGATTCAGGTTTGCTTGTGAATTAGAGCAGCTCCTCTCTCTCTCTCTCTCTCTCTCTCTCTCTCTCTCTGTCTCTCTCTCTCTTTCTGTTTAGAAGTCAGAGCCAGATTTTGCGAATCTGTTCCATGAGACTCTCCACGCCCTGGGCTCCTCATGTCACGATGTTCCTGGCATTCTCTAGGGCTATGGTTTGCAGAAGGAGCGTGGATTACACTCACCTGGAGGCTGGCTCACCAGCTTCCCTTGCCCCTGAAGGTCCCGATTTGGAAGGTCTGTGGGGGCCTGAGTGTCATTTCCAGCCAGTGCCCAGGCTGTGCGGATGCCACCAGTCTTGAGGCCACCCTTGCCACCTGCGTGGCCTAGGACAGCACACTCTCAGTCTGACAGGGCCCTGTTGAGCTGCTAGTGAGGTGGGGACATGGTCCTTACATGGGGCTGCTATGTGCCAGGTGACAGCGAGTGTTCTGTTGCTAAAGCAAGAGAGGACAGATGGTTGAGGGGCGATAGCCAGAAGTTTCTGGAACACCACCCACCACTCTCCTTCCTTGGAGTCTTTTCCTGTGTGTATGAGTCTTGCTATTGGCCAGGCCCATCTGCTTGGGAAGTGGGGCATTGTTGCAGGGCGCTCTTCTGGCCTAGGGCTGGTAAGTGAGCTGGCAGGGCCTCTGCTTCCTTGCAGGCTCTGAGAGCCATTGGGCTGTTCCCAGAAGATGGGTCTGGTGGCTACTTGCTCTGCCACTGGAATCACCTCCAGATCTTTCAGCCTCTTGGGATCAGGTGGCCCCTTTAGAACCCAGATTTGTGATGGAACAATCTTCTTGTGCCACCTCCCTCTGTCTCACCTTCCTTAACCCCAAATAGGGCACTTTTCTAGGAGAGATGGGGGCAGGAGCTATTTGACCCCTACTGAGCTAGGTGGCTCCTGGCTCCCCTGACATGAGAACAGTGACTGCCAACCCCAGGGTTCCTGCTGCTGTCGTCAGCTGGAGGTGAGCTGGAGAGGACATGTCCCACAGGTGCCCCTGCAGCCGATGGTGCGATTCTGTGGCAAGTGTTTGGGAGGCAGTGGTCCTGCCCTCACTGTCCAGGTCACCCTTTATGTTCCCTGAGGCTGTCTCCAGTGTGGGGGAGCCCAGACGAGTGTTCAGTGGTG